TCTTTGCATGGAACAAATGTCCGGGTTTGCATCTTGTCCCTGTCGTTGGTGTGCATTGCGTGTGAAATTGTCTCCCATGAGCACATGGCAAAGTTAAAGTCGTCTTTATAGTGTTGTTTATGGAGAAATTGAGAGCCTTTGAAATGCTCGTCATGTGAATTAGAAAAGATGGGTTACTGTAGAGAAGCACAATTAGTCAACCATTAGAAGAACTGTCCCAAAACATACATAGAACATACGGTACATAGAACATGCTGTCCAACCAACTGTTATAGTTACTATCAACCTACTGTTATAGTTACTATCAACCTACTGTTATAGTTACTATCAACCTACTGTTATAGTTACTATCAACCTACTGTTATAGTTACTATCAACCTACTGTTATAGTTACTATCAACCTACTGTTACAGTTACTATCAACCTACTGTTACAGTTACTATCAACCTACTGTTATAGTTACTATCAACCTACTGTTATAGTTACTATCAACCTACTGTTATAGTTACTATCAACCTACTGTTATAGTTATTATCAACCTACTGTTACAGTTACTATCAACCTACTGTTATAGTTACTATCAACCTACTGTTATAGTTATTATCAACCTACTGTTACAGTTACTATCGACCTACTGTTATAGTTACTATCAACCTACTGTTACAGTTACTATCAACCTACTGTTATAGTTACTATCAACCTACTGTTACAGTTACTATCAACCTACTGTTATAGTTATTATCAACCTACTGTTATAGTTACTATCAACCTACTGTTATAGTTACTATCAACCTACTGTTATAGTTACTATCAACCTACTGTTACAGTTACTATCAACCTACTGTTATAGTAACTATCAGCTTAATGTTACAGTTACTATCAACCTACTGTTATAGTAACTATCAACCTACTGTTACAGTTACTATCAACCTACTGTTACAGTTACTATCAACCTACTGTTATAGTTACTATCAACCTACTGTTATAGTTACTATCAACCTACTGTTATAGTTACTATCAACCTACTGTTACAGTTACTATCAACCTACTGTTATAGTTACTATCAACCTACTGTTACAGTTACTATCAACCTACTGTTATAGTTACTATCAACCTACTGTTACAGTTACTATCAACCTACTGTTACAGTTACTATCAACCTACTGTTACAGTTACTATCAACCTACTGTTATAGTTACTATCAACCTACTGTTATAGTTACTATCAACCTACTGTTATAGTTACTATCAACCTACTGTTATAGTTACTATCAACCTACTGTTACAGTTACTATCAACCTACTGTTACAGTTACTATCAACCTACTGTTACAGTTACTATCAACCTACTGTTACAGTTACTATCAACCTACTGTTATAGTTACTATCAACCTACTGTTACAGTTACTATCAACCTACTGTTACAGTTACTATCAACCTACTGTTATAGTTACTATCAACCTACTGTTACAGTTACTATCAACCTACTGTTATAGTTACTATCAACCTACTGTTATAGTAACTATCAACCTACTGTTATAGTTACTATCAACCTACTGTTATAGTTACTATCAACCTACTGTTACAGTTACTATCAACCTACTGTTACAGTTACTATCAACCTACTGTTATAGTTACTATCAACCTACTGTTACAGTTACTATCAACCTACTGTTATAGTTACTATCAACCTACTGTTATAGTAACTATCAACCTACTGTTATAGTAACTATCAACCTACTGTTATAGTTACTATCAACCTACTGTTATAGTTACTATCAATCTACTGTTATAGTTAAAAATAAATGAAACAAATTGTGGCATGTGGTCAGTGGAGGTGCAAATAATATGAATCAGTTTGCCTGTTGAAGAGCCACACGGTAAAGACAGTTAGTGTGGGAAGGTGTCAGATCTGATTGTGCGAGCAGCATTTGCAGAACTGTTTGTTATTCCTCCACTAATGTTATGTAATGTACTGTACTGTAATTCAATTAATCTGTTTTGGTCCTTTAAATAATTCCGGATTGTGATGGTGGCAGGTGTTTAACATATCAGGGATCTCTGATTTAATAATTTTGATTATCTGACTTTGTAACAAGTGAATGTTGGACAGAAGTTTGACAAGGAGCCCATATATATTGGTTCTTGAACAAACTTTACAAGTATGCGCTTCATTTTCCCTTCAGGCATGTCTGTCTGAGTTAAACTCGGCTCCTTGGCTGAATGTGTTGGGACAGAAGTATGGCCTGAACACACTGGAAAGTGATATATTCTGGGACCATGGATGAAAATTAACTAAATAGATTTCATCCAGTACCAGTTGAACTACACTGAGTGTACTAAACATTAATAACATCTGCTCTTTCCATGACATAGACTAACCAGGTGAATCCAGGTGAAAGTTATGATCCCTTATTGATGTCACTTGTTAAATCCACTTCAATCAGTGTAGATGAAGGGGAGGAGACAGGTTAAAGAAGGATTGTTAAGCTTTGAGACAATGGATTGTGTAAGTGTGCCATTCAGAGGGTGAAGGGGCAAGACAAAATATTTAAGTGCCTTTGAACGGGGTATGGTAGTAGGTGCCAGGCATACTGGTTTGTGTCAAGAACTGCAACGCTGCTGGGTTTTTCACGCTCAACAGTTTTTCATGTGTATCAAGAATGGTCCACCACTCAAAGGACATCCAGCCCAACTTGACACAACTATGGGAAGCATTGTAGTCCTCTGTAGCTCAGTTGGTAGAGCATGGCGCTTGCAACGCCAGGGTTGTGGGTTCGTTTCCCACGGGGGGCCAGTATGAAAATGTATGCACTAACTGTAAGTCGCTCTGGATAAGAGCATCTGCTAAATGACTAAAATGTAAATGTCAACATGGGCCAGCATCCCTGTGGAACGCTTTAGACACTGTGTAGAGTCCATTCCCCGAAGAATTATACTCAGTGTATATTACTATTTTCAAAGACATGCACTTCTAAGCCTTTCAATAAAATGTCTGTTAGTGTTTTCTGTAATGTATTGGTTGTGGATATGATAGGAGGAACCTCACCCATTGATCGAGATGTAGTTGTCCCTGATTGCACTGACTTTGCTCACAGGTGCTTGTTTGAAGAAGTGTACTTACTGTGATCAAGATGTGGTTGTCCCACTGGCTATCCTAAGTTGAATGCACCAATTTGTAAGTCGCTCTGGATAAGAGCATCTGCTAAATGACTTAAATGTAAATGTAAATGTAATGGAGGAGTCCAAGCCGCCAGTGGCCAGATTTTACCCTCCTCCACCTCGCATGTAAATCCACAGCATGCCAGACCTCTTAAAGCAAGATTTGTGAAATTATGGTTGAAGATGTTTTGGAGTATTTACTTGCAAATTATTTATATGGAGGCGCTGGTAAATGGTTTGGGATTCATTCAAGGCTTTTACAGTAAGTTTTAGTTGTATTCATGGCATGATCATCTGCAAATACCTTGGTTCTTGTCATTGCAAGGATGGTCATTATTTCACAGGATTGCAGTGCTTTGGATACATTCTGCTTGACATTCCTGTTCTAAACTGTTGTAGTGCAATGCTGAGGACTTTTGACTCTCCGACAAGCTATTCATTTGAATGGCTTCAGACAGTTTCTATGCTCGAACATGACTGTGTTTCTTTGCCTCAAAGTCTTGGAATGAGAAGTTAATATTCTTCTCTGAGGTATTTGAACACAAAAGAAAAGCCTTACATGAAAGATATTCCCAGAGAGAGTGTTTCGAGGACTCAATGTGAGCATTGTGATATAGACTGTGATGCCATCGCCAAGTCAAGTGTTTATGTTCCTGGAATGCGTCTTCTCTTTGTAAAATGTGTACTTTATGTTCCAGTTTAGGATTAAGGATAACTGGACATCAAACTGTGATTTGTGAAGACAGTGCCAAACGATTGTATATTTATTTACCTTTTTTTTTTTTTATACAACTCTTGTTTGATGTTTTGTATTTCATGGAATGCTATAGAATGACAGTCATTCCACTGTGATTACATGCTTATAAATGTAACTTGTGAGGATATAATTGCTCTGGAATGGTCCATCATTCCATCAGAAGCTGTCGGACTGTCATCCCACTCTGAGGCTGCTGAGTTCATGGAGTACTGAAGCCTGGCAGATTAGGGAGAAATCCAATATGGGAGGCATGCCTTTATTTTGAAGAGCTGTGCTTAGAGTGTGATCTCCATTGGAATGAGGAGTCTTCTAGAATGGCAAACACCTCAGTCCTCTCATGTATTTACCCACTTGGATCTCAGCATACTCTCACCTCACTTTCACTCTTCGTATGTATTTATCCAGCAGGGGCTCCAGGCAGAGCACTCCTGTGTGATTTGGACCCACTGCTCCCTCTCCGGAGGCTGAGGTGTGATTTGGCCACAGAGGACTCCATGTTAATAATTATGTGCCAAAACTCTTCTCCCTTCCTCATGTTGTGTAGGGAAATCTTCCTGTTCAACTCAACTCCCTGTCTAACAGATGACACATTTATGGTCGGAAAATCTAGAGAAATACTGGGTCAAAGAAAATAGTGGCTTTGTCTGAACTTTCTCTGCTCTCTTTTATGCCGTTGACATACAGATAGGGCAAATATTGTCTCATTCCATTGGCTGTGTGGGTTGTGTTTGTTCTGTAAGGTGTGTGTGTGGGTGCACAGTGCGCACGTGTGCTTGTGTGTCTGTGTGTGCTGTCATGCCCCTAAGCTTTGTGTGGAGGGGAGATTTGTGGGTCATAAGCACGCTGTGCAGACACATGCAACCACTGCCCTCTGTTTGCTCTTTCACTATTGTTTTGTTAAAGTCTGAGGGATCCAGACCAGGGATTCAAGCCCTTCTCAGACTGTACTGGTTATCTATTGTAGCTGTCCTATCTCAAGTCTGCTTCAAGGAAGTTTACTTGTGGGAAGAAAAACCTTGGCCAAACGTTGACCATAGACAGGGATTCTCAACTTTGTTGACATAGGGACCATGATACTGTAACATGAGGTAAACCTCACACACTTTAGATATGGTGGGTTATGACAGGAACTTTATAACTGTTTGCTATAAGACAACACCACTTTCCTGGACTTTTGAGTTAATAATATTCACAACTGATAAAGAAGTCCTCTAAACAGCCATTGTTACATGCGTACCAGACAGGTTCAGAGTGGGTAACATACAGGATTAGAGCTGTAGACTTGAATAATTCCCAGTGTTAGTATTGGAGCTGTGACGAATGGGCCTGGTTGTGTTTGTCCTCAGGGCCACAGCATCGTGTGTAGAGGACTCTCCTCTAGCAAACTCCGTGCAGATGAACAGTGATGGCCACAGAATCACACCCACCTGAACAGTAAGAACACACAGTGGAACATATGATGATCTACATTAAACATCTAAAGGCCACTCAGAAAATTATGCTTTTTTTATGAAAGGTCTTCATTTATACATGTGTTATGATTGAGTTGTGCTTGTATCTAATGCAAATGCATTACTGTATTCATTTGTAATATTTGAAATGATGTGATGATAATTAACTTAATAACCATCATTGTTTGATTGTGTAGTTCAGTCGATGAAGTGGTAAACACGGAGCAAGTGCTGAACTCCCTGGAGAGGATCATTCTCACCATCTTCCTCACCATCATCATCATCATGACTGTTCTGGGCAACCTGCTGGTGATGGTGGCGCTCTGCAAGGACAGACAACTACGGTAAGAAAACTTCCTGTTTACATGTAGGTCCCATCCTGTCAAATCAAAGTGGTCAGAGGAGAAAATGTGACCCCTTTAGAGTGTGGTTTTTACCACAGAAGCTAGGTTTCCATCCAATTGGCAACAGATTTTCATGCAAATATTCTAAAATCAGGATAAAAACATACGCATTTTCCCACCAGAGATGTGTTTCCATCAGGCTGTGCGTGAAGATGTAATGCACATAAAAATATTTCCATGTACCGAATAAAAAATACAAGTTAAATGGGTTTCCATCGCATTTCCAACTCTATATGCTTTATATAGCGAGTGTGCCCACTCTGGTATTGGCACGTGTATTCTAGCAGGGCGCAGATTGTGCGCTGTTGGCTAGAGCGCACGTATAGTTTACATGCTGAGATTATTATGGATAAAATAATGAGATTTTATTTGTCAAACGGCAGCCAAGCATCGATGATCATGTCACCAGAATAAGACCCTCGCTATTTATTGGAAAGGAGCATCAAGCTCATCACCGTGCACTTTCACCACCCTGTGAAGTTCATCATAAGTTATTTCATCTGTAGCCTAATAAATTGCATGCTTTCCCGACAAGTCGTAATGGGAGGACCACACAACATATCATCGAGTGACTCCAAGTTTACTTCAATGGTTATTATATCCTATTTGCACATAAAAGCGTTTCCACCTACATTTCTCGCATAATTCATTTTACCGAAACCTTGTCTAGTGTATTTTGTTTTGTCAACATTTGGAAAAATGTCTGTTTCCATCAGACCTGTCATGACATTTTTTATCCAACATCTACTTTACTCGCATAAAAAGGTTGGATGGAAAGCTGGTTAGAGATAGATACTGTACTTTATAATGGTGTTTACATCCTGTGTCCCACCATCTCTAGAGGACATTACATTGCCGCTGTCTGTCACAACGTCTGTACATTTGCTTCTAGGGGATTCTCCCATGGTCCTTTTGTTAATAAGCGCACTGCTTTATATAAAATGACTTATATGAAATGATGTAAAAAATAATATTGAACAGAATCCAATTGAAGTAGGACGTGTGATGGACAGACTGGTAAATAGGCCACTTCCTGGCTATTGGGCAACGAACTTAGTAGCTGTTCTCACATCAGGCACTGGCATCCTTTCTGTCATGTTTTACGTTTAGCGATATGGTATTAAAGGGTAATTAGAGAGAAAAAAGGTTTGTTCTGTCTAGTGCAGATCAGTTGATAATTCTAACAGATAACACAAATATAATTCTCTTTGCATTCAACTCGTGCCTTTCTGGAAATAAATCAAAATGTTTTTGTTCCTCTTCTCCCTCTAGGAAAAAGAAGACCAATTACTTCATAGTGTCTTTGGCGTTTGCAGACCTCCTGGTTGCTGTGGTTGTCATGCCGTTTGCAGCCATTGAGTTGACCACAAGTCAGTGGAGGTACGGGGAGATATTCTGTCTGGTCAGGACCTCATTGGACGTCCTGCTGACCACTGCATCTATCCTACACCTGTGCTGCATAGCACTGGACAGGTGAGCAATGAACATAGTGAAAAACATCAATTTTACTCATGGAAACATTTGTAAATATGTCAGCCAGCTATTGCAAACTTTTTCCACGTGCCTATCCCAGTCACCTTGATGCATCCGTTCAGCCTAATAGCCCTACACCTCTGTTAGCACCCAACTGTGTTAGAATTAGCATGTGTCTTGGATGGCCCTTCTCTAGCACCTCTTTGTCCTCTGTCCATAGCATATGGAAGCCTGTCATGGCTGACAGATGAGCAGCTATGTTGTCCTGTCCTGCACCTGCCCCATACGGTGAAAAGCCACTGTAGTGAGTCACCTGCTAGCTCAGTCCCTCACTCCAAACACAAATATGATTTATGCTTTTCCACAGGACCAATCATTCTTTTAGCTTCCCTGGGTGGAAATATGAGACATGAGTCATGACGAGAGGCCTGATTGGTCGTTAGAAGGATACTTATCGGGCCTCCCGAGTGGCGCAGCGGTGCTTGAGGCGTCACTACAGACCCAGGTTCGATCCCAGGCTGTATCACAGCCGGCCGTAGTCGCATAGGGGTTTGGCGGGGGTGGGGGGGGGGGGGGGGCTTTACTTGGCTCATTGCGTTCTAGCGACTCCTTGTAGCGGGCCGGGGCACCTGCAGGCTGACTTCGGTCGTCAGTTGAACAGTGTTTCCTCCGACACATTGGTGCTTCCGGGTTAAGGAGCACGGTTTGGGGGGGTCATGTTTCGGAGGACGCATGATTCGACCTTTGCCTCTCCCGATGAGATGAAATTGGGAGAAAAAAGGGGTTAACAGAAAAAATAAGGATACTTATCTTTTTTAAAGTAGCCTATGAAGGGATGAGTCACTGCTTGTCTTTCTTACCCACCTACACTGAGTGTACAACATATTAGGAACACCTGCTCTTTCCATGACATAGACTGACCAGGTGAAAGCTATGATCTCTTATTGATGTCACCTGTTAAATCCACTTCAATCAGTGTCGATGAAGGGGAGGAGACAGGAAAAAAAAAAAAGATTGAGACAATTGAGACATGGATTGTGTATGTGTGTGGGCAAGACAAAATATTTAAGAACCGCAACGCTTTTCACACTCAACAGTTTCCTGTGTGTATCAAGAATGGTCCACCACCTGAAGGACATCCAGCAAACTTGACACAACTATGGGAAGCGTTGTAGTCAACATGGGCCAGCATCCCTGTGGAACGCATTCGACACCTTGTAGAGTCCATGCCCCGACCAATTGAGGCTGTTCTAAGGGCAAAAGTGGGTGCAACTCAATATTAGGACAGTGTTCCTAATGTTTTTTACACTATAGGCCACAAGTAAATACCTAATATGTACATACCAAAATATGTACTAAGGGCTAAAGTCACCATACATGGTGAATTCAATAGAGGATGCCAATTTAGTTCATTATTTGTTTATGCAAGTCATGAGATTATTTTAGTGAATACGGAATTAGGAATGAGTCACCATTGGTAATATTTTGGTATGTACAGTTGAAGTCGGAAGTTTACATACACTTAGGTTGGAGTCATTAAAACTTGTTTTTCAACCACTACACAAATGTATTGTTAACAAACTATAGTTTTGACACAAGTAATTTTTCCAACAATTGTTTACAGACAGATTATTTCACTTATAATTCACTGTATCACAATTCCAGTGGGTCAGAAGTTTACATACACTAAGTTGACTGTGCCTTTAAAGAGCTTGGAAAATTCCAGAAAATGATGTCATGGTTTTATAAGCTTCTGATAGACTAATTGACATCATTTGAGTCAATTGGAGGTGTACCTCTGGATGTATTTCAAGGCCTACTTTCAAACACAGTGCCTCTTTGCTTGACATAATGGGAAAATCAAAAGAAATCAGCCAAGACCTCAGAAAAAAATGGTAGACCTCCACAAGTCTGGTTCATCCTTGGGAGCAATTTCCAAACGCCTGAAGGTACCACGTTCATCTGTACAAACAATAGTACGCAAGTATAAACACCATGGGACCACGCAGCCATCATACCGCTCAGGAAGGAGACGCGTTCTGTCTCCTAGAGGTGAACATACTTTGTGTGAAAAGTGCTAATCAATCCCAGAACAACAGCAAAGGACCTTGTGAAGATGCTGGAGGAAACAGGTACAAAATGATCTATATCCACAGTAAAACGAGTCCTATATCGACATAACCTGAAAGGCCGCTCAGCAAGGAAGAAGCAACTGCTCCAAAACCGCCATAAAAAAGCCAGACTACGGTTTGCAACTGCACATGGGGACAAAGATCTTACTTTTTGGAGAAATGTCCTCTGGTCTGATGAAACAAAAATAGAGCTGTTTGGCCATAATGACCATCGTTATGTTTGGAGGAAAAAGGGAGATGCTTGCAAGCCAAAGAACACCATCCCAACCGTGAAGCACGGGGTGGCAGCATCATGCTGTGGGGGTGCTTTGCTGCAGGAGGGACTGGTGCACTTCACAAAATAGATGGCATCATGAGGAAGGAAAATTATGTGGATATATTGAAGCAACATCTCAAGACATCAGTCAGGAGGTTAAAGCTTGGTCGCAAATGGGTCTTCCAAATGGACAATGACCCCAAGCATACTTCCAAAGTTGTGACAAAATGGCTTAAGGACAACAAAGTCACGGTATTGGAGTGGCCATCACAAAGCCCTGACCTCAATCCTATAGAACATTTGTGGGTAGATCTGAAAAGGTGTGTGCGAGCAAGGAGGCCTACAAACCTGACTCAGTTACACCAGCTCTGTCAGGAGGAATGGGCCAAAATTCACCCAACTTATTGTGGGAAGCTTGTGGAAGGCTACCCGAAATGTTTGACCCAAGTTAAACAATTTAAAGGCAATGCTACCAAATACTAATTGAGTGTATGTAAACTTCTGACCCACTAGGAATGTGATGAAAGAAATAAAAGCTGAAATAACTCATTCTCTCTACTATTATTCTGACATTTCACATTCTTAAAATAAAGTGGTGATCCTAACTGACTTAAAACAGGGAATTTTTACCAGGATTAAATGTCAGGAATTGTGAAAAACTGAGTTTAAATGTATTTGGCTAAGGTGTATGTAAACTTCCGACTTCAACTGTATATATTAGGTAGATATTTGTGGCCTGTAGATAGAATTCAGAAAAACACTATCAATAGATGATGGGGTTTTTCCTCAGTTGAATCTATGATGTTGTGATAATGTTGTGATATTCTATTGATAGGTACTATGCGATCTGCTGCCAGCCACTGGTGTACAGGAATAAGATGACGCCCTTGAGAGTGGCCCTGATGCTGGGAGGATGCTGGGTCATCCCCTCCTTCATCTCCTTCCTTCCCATCATGCAAAGCTGGCATGCCATCGGCATAGAGGACATTGTAAGTCTATAAGCAGCTGTGGTCAGCCTGTCTGTCTGATGGTTCTACTACAGACAGAGGCTTGCTCTGTAGTCTTATTCATTACATCTACAGTTGGAGTCGGAAGTTTACATACATTTAGGTTGGAGTCATTAAAATTAGTTTTTCAACCACTCCACAAATTTCTTGTTAACAAACTATAGTTTTGGCAAGTCGGTTAGGACATCTACTTTGTGCATGACACAAGTAATTTTTCCAACAATTGTTTACAGACAGATTATTTCACTTATAATTCACTGTATCACAATTCCAGTGGGTCAGAAGTTTACATACACTAAATTGACTGTGCCTTTAAACAGCTTGGAATATTCCAGAAAATGATGTCATGGCTTTAGAAGCTTCTGATAGGCTAATTGACATCATTTGAGTCAATTGGAGGTGTACCTGTGGATGTATTTCAAGGTCTACCTTCAAACTCAGTGCCTCTTTGCTTGACATCATGGGAAAATCAAAAGAAATCAGCCAAGACCTCAGAAAAACAATTGTAGACCTCCACAAGTCTGGTTCATCCTTGGGAGCAATTTCCAAATGCCTGAAGGTACCACGTTCATCTGTACAAACAATAGTACGCAAGTATAAACACCATGGGACCACGCAGCCGTCATACCGCTCAGGAAGGAGACGCGTTCTGTCTCCTAGAGATGAACATACTTTGGTGCGAAAAGTGCAAATCAATCCCAGAACAACAGCAAAGGACCTTGTGAAGATGCTGGAGGAAACAGGTACAAAAGTATCTATATCCACAGTAAAACGAGTCCTATATCAACATAACCTGAAAGGCCGCTCAGCAAGGAAGAAGCAACTTCTCCAAAACCGCCATAAAAAAGCCAGACTATGGTTTGCAACTGCACATGGGGACAAAGATCGTACTTAGAACTGTTTGGCCATAATGACCATCGTTATGTTTGGAGGAAAAAGGGGGTACTTGCAAGCCGAAGAACACCATCCCAACCGTGAAGCACTGGGGTGGCAGCATCATGCTGTGGTGGTGCTTTGCTGCAGGAGGGACTGGTCCACTTCACAAAATAGATGGCATCATGAGGAAGGAAAATTATGTGGATATACAGTGGGGAGAATAAGTATTTGATACACTGCCGATTTTGCAGGTTTTCCTACTTACAAAGCATGTAGAGGTCTGTAATATTTTATCATAGGTACACTTCAACTGTGAGAGACGGCATCTAAAACAAAAATCCAGAAAATCACATTGTATGATTTTTAAGTAATTAGTTTGCATTTTATTGCATGACATAAGTATTTGATCACCTACCAACCAGTAAGAATTCCGGCTCTCACAGACCTGTTAGTTTTTCTTTAAGAAGCCCTCCTGTTCTCCACTCATTACCTGTATTAACTGCACCTGTTTGAACCCGTTACCTGTATAAAAGACACCTGTCCACACACTCAATCAAACAGACTCCAACCTCTCCACAATGGCCAAGACCAGAGAGCTGTGTAAGGACATCAGGGATAAAATTGTAGACCTGCACAAGGCTGGGATGGGCTACAGGACAATAGGCAAGCAGCTTGGTGAGAAGGCAACAACTATTATTATTATAATTATTCTAAATTATTAGAAAATGGAAGAAGTTCAAGATGACGGTCAATCACCCTCGGTCTGGGGCTCCATGCAAGATCTCACCTCGTGGGGCATCAATGATCATGAGGAAGGTGAGGGATCAGCCCAGAACTACACGGCAGGACCTGGTCAATGACCTGAAGAGAGCTGGGACCACAGTCTCAAAGAAAACCATTAGTAACACACTACGCCGTCATGGATTAAAATCCTGCAGCGCACGCAAGGTCCCCCTGCTCAAGCCAGCGCATGTCCAGGCCCGTCTGAAGTTTCCTCCCGAGTGGCGCAGTGGTCTAAGGCACTGCATCGCAGTGCTAGCTGTGCCACTAGAGATCCTGGTTTGAATCCAGGCTCTGTCGTAGCCGGGCCGCGACCTGGAGACCCATGGGGCGGCGCACAATTGGCCCAGCGTCGTCCAGGGTAGGGGAGGAAATGGCCGGCAGGGATGTAGCTCAGTTGGTAGAGCATGAAAGTCCGTATTTCCCAGCGACAGCCCCGAAACCTGAAGGATCTGGAGAAGGTCTGTATGGAGGAGTGGGCCAAAATCCCTGCTGCAGTGTGTGCAAACCTGGTCAAGACCTACAGGAAACGTATGATCTCTGTAATTGCAAACAAAGGTTTCTGTACCAAATATTAAGTTCTGCTTTTCTGATGTATCAAATACTTATGTCATGCAATAAAATGCAAATTAATTACTTAAAAATCATACAATGTGATTTTCTGGATTTTTGTTTTAGATTCCGTCTCTCACAGTTGAAGTGTACCTCTGATAAAAATTACAGACCTCTACATGCTTTGTAAGTAGGAAAATCTGCAAAATCGGCAGTGTATCAAATACTTGTTCTCCCCACTGTATTGAAGCAACATCTCAAGACATTAGTCAGGAAGTTAAAGCTTGGTCGCAAATGGGTCTTCCAAATGGACAATGACCCCAAGAATACTTCCAAAGTTGTGGCAAAATGGCTTAAGGACAACAAAGTCAAGATATTGGAGTGGCCATCACAAAGCCCTGACCTCAATCCTATAGAAAATGTGTGGGCACAACTGAAAAAGTGTGTGCGAGCAAGGAGGCCTACAAACCTGACTCAGTTACACCAGCTCTGTCAGGAGGAATGGGCCAAAATTCACCCAACTTATTGTGGAAAGCTTGTGGAAGGCTACCCGAAACGTTTGACTCAAGTTAAACAATTTAAAGGCAATGCTACCAAATACTAATTGAGTGTATGTAAACTTCTGACCCACTGGGAATAAATCATTCTCTCTACTATTATTCTGACATTTCACATTCTTAAAATAAAATGGTGATCCAAATGACCTAAAACAGGGAATTCTTACTAGGATTAAATGTCAGGAATTGTGAAAAACTGAGTTTAAATGTATTTGGCTAAGGTGTATGTAAACTTCCGACTTCAACTTTAAATTGTTTATTTGCTGAATGTTTTCTACTAAATTGTTTTGTTGGTCCTTGAAAATGTGAACAGGACAGATGTTAAGTGAAGGACACATGGTTAAACCAACAAGCATAACATCTTTCTATTTGAATAACATTTCAAGTTCATTGGATGGGGATGTAGTAGTCAGTTCAATCATCATGTTCTTTGGGGAGAGCAAACTTACACAAGCCCTCTTCTAGTTCTAAAAACAGTACTATGACTCATTGTTTCACCTTTGACACCTGAAAAAACTTCCCTCTCTCAAATGGAGGCACTGATGGTTGTTTACAAATGTCAAATTACCCATACCACATATACGTGTCCTCTTAGTGCACTCAACCATCGTAAGACTAAAGCTACTACTACCATTTACATAGACAGACATAAACACCCAAGAGAATTCCAGGCACACAGCCTCTTGCTCTGAGACCTAAACACTGGAGTCAGTGCTGAGCACAATCCACAGCTACCAGTTTATAAACACAAATAATATGTCAACGTCTACCCGTTCAAAGTTTTTTGTAAGAGAGTCAGGAAACGGGCATTAGGCAGTCAGTCGTTGCACTCTCTCTGTTTACATACTGTTGGTTGAATGAGAAACAAGTACGTAACTATTGCATATGTAGATGTGGATACTACATAACGTGCCTCTTCCTGTATGTGGATCTGCTTGTTAATTGATTGTTTTCTCTCTGCATGCTGACTTCAGATAGAGCAGAGGAAGTTTAGCGGCAGCAGCAACGAGACCAACTGTGTGTTCGTGGTGAACCGTCCGTATGCTCTCATCTGCTCCGCTGTGGCCTTCTACGTTCCCCTGGGCCTCATGGTCCTGGCCTACCAGCGCATCTACGTCACCGCCATGGGCCACGTGCGGCAGATCGGCACGCTGCAGCGGGCAGGCTCCGCCCCCTACTCGGCGCCCCCCCAGCACTACCTCAGCTCCGAGCAGCAGGGCTCCAGTCGCATGCGCATCGAGACCAAGGCTGCCAAGACCCTGGCTGTCATCATGGGCTGCTTCTGCCTCTGCTGGGCCCCCTTTTTCATCACCAATGTGGTGGACCCCTTCATCCACTACAGTGTGCCCTGGCAGATGTGGACCGCCTGGCTGTGGCTTGGCTATATTAACTCTGGCCTTAACCCCTTTCTCTACGCCTTCCTGAACCGGGCCTTCAGACGGGCCTTCCTCATGATACTGTGTTGTGGTGATGAGAGATACGTACGCCAGGGGAGCTACGGCCCCACCAGACGCTACTCTGGATCTGTCAACGGGACCTCCATCGCGCTCAGGTAAGGAACTGATACTGGACCACCAACCCATGTCCTCCCTTTTATCAACTAGCCCTGAATTAAGATAATTATCTCTCAGGTACAGGTGCATCATCTTCTGTCAGGTAGGTGAGTTATGCTGAATCTCTGTTGTCTTATCTTACTTAAAATACATTTAGAATCATCTGAGATGAGACATTGCCCAAGACGTTTGGGGTTTGGAGGGAAAATCTGGTTATTCTCCAACTCCCATCAGGGTCATCAAATAATTAATATTTAGATCAGATCTCGACATGTTGAATCTTAAATGTGTTTAACAGTTGAATGTCTGTGTGTTATTTTAACATTTATCTTAGTTATCCATGGTTCAGTGCTATTATGAGGTGTTTTTATAGACAAACAGCCTAATCTTTTCCCCTCATATTTCAGTACACATAACACATTTAGCTCTGCTCTGAATGAGGGAAGGAAGCCTTGAAGCGGTACATATATAATATGGTATAGAATACACATGTTTATGTAGAAAACCAGGAAGCAGAGGACGTTATCTTCAAGTGAAGACAAGTGAAGGATGGGGCATCATTAGGGAGATTTAGTTGCCCTTATACCCTGGTTTTTCCATACCCAATTTGGTTGGGCTCGTTGAGCAGTACTGTACTCTTCTGCCAGAATCGGAGGCTCATGTGTGAGGAAGGCACTTACGCCACTCAGCCCCGCTCCACCAGCAGCACGCACCTACATGACCTCAACAGTACTAGTTACACAGAGGGGGAAAAAGAAAATGGATGTGACTCTATCCTGGAATGTCAGTTGGCCCAGACGTTGGGCTTTTTAAATCCCATTGGCATTTAGAAATGTAGTAGTGTTTGTTTATGCACATATTTATTCATGTTTTTCTGATTATGTTTTCCTTTTGAAATCGGATGAGGTGTCCAATATCGGGACCTTTTTGTGTCTTAATTAGTGGTGTAGTGGAGGGTAATGCAAGTAAACGCAATTTACCCACTTTTTGTTTTTGGCCAACAGTTTACCCACCTTTTGCAGAAAAATGCATTGTAAGTATAGGGAGCGTTACTTTTTTCACCGTGACTGACGATCAGGGTTTACCCACCTTTCTCAAGAGCTGTTGGGGTTGTGGAGAGAGAAAGTGAGTGAGAGTGAGAGAGATAGAGTGAGAGTGAGTGAGAGGAAGAGTGAGAGTGAGAGTGAGAGTGAGAGTGAGAGTGAGAGTGAGAGTGAGAGTGAGAGAGAGAGAGAGAGAGAGAGAGAGAGAGAGAGAGAGAGACAGAGACAGAGACAGAGACAGAGACAGAGACAGACAGAGAGAGACAGACAGACAGACAGAGAGAGACAGACACAGACAGACAGACAGACAGACAGACAGACAGACAGACAGACAGACAGACAGACAGACAGACAGACAGACAGACAGACAGACAGACAGACAGACAGACAGACAGACAGACAGACAGACAGACAGACAGACAGACAGACAGACAGAGCAGAAGCTGGTTTTACATGCTTCTCTACAGGGTGTGACTTAGCCTCTTGTTATTGTTTCATTTTTTTGTTTGTGGGTTTTTCACATATAATGATTATGACTTTGTTTCCATGTAAAGTGTTACAAGTCTACTGTCCATGTGTTTCTATTTTATTCAGTTGTGGAAAAGAACATTTAATGTTTAGCTGGTAACTCTGCGGCTATATTCACAGATGTAGTGGTTACTCCTCGGATTCATTTAGTAGGCAGAAAAACAAACAGTATTAGAGACACCCTAATGTCTGTCTATTAAAAAGTGTCTGAGACACAAAGCAGATGTCTCTTTTTTTCCGCTCAGAATCAAATTACTGCAACTAGAATAGAAGCTGTTGGAAAGTAATTCTGGATTTAGAGTAAGATACTTTTTCTTTCAGCATTAAAGTGGTCAACACTGTTCATTTGGATACATTTCCACATGCACTAGTGCAGCCATGTGATTTTTGTGACGTTTGTATATTCATTACACATCAATAATATATATTTATACGTCAAATGAGATGTGATGTTTTCAATCACAAGAGCTATTTCTGCTTGAACCTGTTTTGCTCCCTAGCAGTCATACAATGCATCAGTGCTGACTATAGCCCTTACATTGGCTGCTAATCCCCTGCCTATTCAGGGCAGTGGGTTAGAGAGAGTACTATAGCCAGGCTGTTAGGTTATAAGAACATGCAGTACAGGAGCCTGCTGTGTTTACTTCTTCTAGACTGATGTCCAGATAACATTAGGGTCAAATGGTCACTCTTCACCATGTGACTGACTGTAGTACAGTACAGAGAGATACACTGTCAGCTTTGTGGCTTCATCTAGCCTATTTGTATTATACTGTGGCGGATCAAATGAGCACCTGGCTTGACTGGGGGTGGGGGGTTGAACTCAACGTCCCACGCAGCGACCTGGTCGTCCTTCCATGAGGTTGTAGGATGTTGAATAACACTTTGATAGTTAGGTTATAATGCTTACACAGGATGGTCAAATCCATTGTCTTGTAATTGTGAATCCATTGTGTTGTAATTGTGAATCCATTGTTTTCTATGGATATCATTATAGACAAACATTTCCTTTTCTCAGTGGCTTTAGCAGCTTTAGTCTGTATTTTCATTCTAAAGCTGCTTTCAGCATCAGAACAAAGTGTGGATTCATAGTGTGTGTTTAGTAATCTGAAGGAAAAAGGCATAAGCACATTACACGTAAAAAACCAAGCCTTGTGTAACAAGGGTAGTTATAATGCAGAGAGAGAATGGAGTTTCTGTGGCTGAAAAGCAGGTTTAGCCTTGGTTCACACAGACCATGCCCTTTGCCGCACTCAGCTCTCACCTTGGTTCAGATATTAATAAGCCTTGGTTCATTCTATGGTTTTATTCACATAGCAAATAGGGAAGGACTCAAAAGAAGAAGCCAACGCACAGAATGCTGGAGATTATTTATTTTTGTTCCTTCTAACCATGTCTCTAGTGTTGTATTCAGGTGAAGTGTGTCGACAGTCTTTGTTCAAGCTGTGAGGTAAAATTGGTAAGAATGTTCATTAGATTAACAGATATTGCATGTGCCTGGAAAGAGCTGGAATATCTTCACTTCTCAAGTACTTTGGACTTCTTTTTTTTGCCATGTTGTGAATGTTGTTAACTTTCACCTAAACCCTAAGATTGTAATCCAGGAATGCCAAACGCAGAAACATGTCCCAATGGTGCTGATCTGTTGGCAGGGATGTACTGAGTTGTTTTTTTCAGGGATATTTTAGAGGATTGTGTCAGGCTCTAGCAGCCACATACCCCTTCAGCCTCTCTTGCTGCATTTACACAGGCAGCCCAATTCTGGTCTTTGTCCCACTAATTGGTATTTTGACCAATCACATTAGATCTTTTCACATCAGATATTTTTCAGAGCTGATCTAATTGGTCAAAAGACCAATTAGTGAAAAAAATAATCAGAATTGGGCTGCCTGTGTAAACGCAGCCGTGTTTGCAAACGGCTGAAGCTGAGTAGTGCTAGGCTTGGTTAGTGTTTAGATCAAAAATCTGCATTGGAAAGTCTTGTTGCTACAGGAAGTGGTGTTGATGGGCATATTGAGAGCAGTAGGAGGCACTTCTGTCTCTGGTGAACTAGCACACTGAGAGTGACTGTATTTACTTTCCAAATGTGAGTTCATGTAGGCCTCCGCGCTACAGCAAACAAAGAAAAGTGGGAGGGGTGCTCAACATTTGAGGAAGAAAGTTGTGTTAAATTGGAGTACTCAACAAAAAATGCAGAGATTAATTTCTTATTTGCTCCATTAATCTACAGGTGATTTATTCAACCTGACCAATGGATTAAAGTGAGAAAATAATAAATGACTCTGCCTTTTTTGTTGAGTGCTCCAACTCTTTTCTGCCTCGAATTAGTCCTTTTGGGAAGTTTCTCTTGATACGCCCCTTTCATTCATTTACAAATGTTTTGCTCTCAACCTTTATGGTCAATAAAGATTCAGTACACATTTGTATACTGATTTCCTTGTGGAATTCCCAGTCTGGCCATGTTCCATTGGTTGTATTGACTCGTCACCTTGCCACCAAAAATAGTTCATACATAGGATAATGGGTGTCCTGGTGCAAAATGGCTGCTGTACATCACTTAGATATAGACATTTCAGATCAAACATATTGCATCCATGCATTTATCTTGGATGCATCAGTGATGGCAATAGTACGCTACTTCTGGCAAGATGATGGAATGCTTTCAAGATACTAGACCATTGTGTTAGCTGTTATCTCAAGGCAGACTTTAATGAAATGAAATCAAATCCAATTTTATTGATCACGTACACAGTTTTCAGCAGGTCCAAGGTGCAGTGAAATGCTCCCTCAACAATGCGATACAATATCGATATCAATAATAATCAAAACGTAAAATGGAAAATAACAAGTAATAGAGGAAGGTAATATGCATAGTAATAAAACATAATAGGATATACGGTATAAATTATGAATGTGCTATGATCAAGTATAACTCTGTTACAAATATAAAGTGGATTGTGTCTTGGTCGCACAGTTTAATAAAAGTATATAATAGAACAGCAGCGTTGACTGTGTGTGTGTGTGTGTGTGTGTGTGTGTGTGTGTGTGTGTGTGTGTGTGTGTGTGTGTGTGCTTTCCTACATGATCAGGAACCCAATGTCCTAACATTTAACCCGAATGTCCTGAAAAGGTAGGAAAAGAAGAACTGTTTTGAAAAGTCATGACTTTTTTCAGGTCCTGAATTTGTTCAAATGCTATTTGAAGCTTAAGGCTTAGGTTTAGGGTTCTGGGATTAAGGTTAGGGTTAGGGCTAGGGTTGGGTTTTGGGGGTTAAGGGTAGGGTTAGGTTAAGGTTTAGGGGTAGGGTTAGTGTTAGTGTTAGGGTTAGAGGTTAGGGAAAATAGGATTTTTAATGGTCAAACATTTTTACACTCCAAAAAGTCCTGAGATTTCACCAAAACAAAGCTGTTTGTGGTTTTGTGTGCATGTGTT